TAATATCCATCCGGAGCTCGTAAGCAGCTATGCCAACGTTTTTTCTCAGGTTCTGTTTTCTGTAGTTTGTTTGCCCCACTTTCGTCATATCACGCATCCAAAAAAACTGTCAAAAAGGTCGCTTCTCGACAGAACCGTCCATTAACCGGCCGTACTACCTTCTGGGGCAGAGAGTCCAGCAGAGGAAGCGTAAGTGGAAAACCGGTGTTACAGAACTAGTTCGTAAAAACTGGCAACGAAACAAATTTTTACAAAAATTTACGAAGTTTCTTACTCGGCAGGCTTTTTGTATTTTGCACTATCATCTTCTTCGATTGCTTTCAAAAGTTTTTTCTCGGCCTCCGGGTCCACTCGTGACAGCTCGCGGTATGCTTCATCGCCAACAAAACAGATTTCATGATCGTTCTGAAAGGAAGAATTATATCTGGGGAGAAAATCCAACAGCAGCATGGTTTCTTTTTTTTTTCAGATAAGAAAGTTTCGAAAAATAAAAGTATATTGCTGAAACTATACGAAAATTTGAACGATGTCATTATGGGATTTATTCAATTGAAGTGCAGCGCAGCTCGAATGGCGAGAGTGGATGGTTAAATCTCCTAAAAAGAAAGATAATAATATAATAATTTATCGAAACATTAATGAATGTCTTCAGTTCTGTTGTCGAGGCACTAACAGTTTGTTGTATGGAAGTGAAACATGCAATACTGTGCTTGCTAAGCAGAAGAAGCTAGCAATGACACAACAAAAAAATGAACTGCAATTCGGACCATCGAAATAGCTAGCGACCTTCTCAATGCTTTTTGTGACCGCAACTAAATCAGCTAATGGCCACTTTGCTAGTGATTCTAATTTTTATTCTCTTGCTTTCTAAAAAATGCAAGATGTATGATGTTCCTAAAGCCGCTTGAAAAAATAATAACAGAATAATAACAATGGTATTAATAATAATGATAACAATAATAATAATAATAGCATTAGTAATAACAATGATGATAACAACAGCAATGATTTTATAGATCACTTTGTGAATACATTTTTTCCCCGAAATTTTTCAGAACGCATACTCATATAATATATGAGACCAAACAGATATTTTTGAG